ATGAGCTTTCAAAAGTACAATACTTCTTTCTTTTAAAATTAACCTGGAGAGGTTCCTGGGTGGCTCAGTCAGTTAAGCGTCTGACTCTTAATTGTGGCTCAGGTCATGAATGTCAAGGTTGTGAGATCCAGACCTGAGCCAGGCTCCACGCTCAGCAGGGAGTCTGTCTGCCTGAGATTCTCTCTCTCTCCCTCTGCCCCATGTCAAGTGCACTCTCTCTCTCTCTCAAAATAAATAACATCTTCAGAATATAAAATGAAACAAGCCTGGAAATAGGAACTTTAAAATTAATATTGTAATTCAGATACAGCATTGAGGAAAGTTGCATGAGAACACAGAAATGTCATGACTTTTGTCATAGCATTTTTAGCTTAATGGATTTTGTCCAAGTTAAGACTGTCGTATTTCAGTGATTATTACTGTCAAAGATGTATGACTGCACCCCAACAAATTATTCAAGAACTTCCTCATTAAAGAAAAAAAAAGAACTTCCTCACTAAAAAGTAATTAAAAAAAATCTTTTGTCATTGATGTTGTAAGCATGCCTCCTGAGGAAATATCAGAGAGTTAATACCCAAAACTTTTCTTCAAGATGTCTAACCTTCACAGCTATTTGAAGCTACTTACCTCCTAGGGTTCCCTAATCTTACCTCCCTGGCATCAAAGAACTACAAAATTAAAAAAAAAAAAAAAAATAAAAAAGAAAAAAGAAAGAAAAGAAAAAAAAAACCCGATCATTTAAGAAACTACAAAAGTCTATCTTTGTTTAATACAGAAGCAATGCACATACATGAGGTGGACATTAGCTGAACCCACCGTGGTGATTGTTTCACAGTGTATATAAGTAGAACCAATGTGTTGTATGCCTTAAACTTATACAGTAATGTAAGCCAACTATTTCTCATTATTGGGGGAAAAAAGGAAAAAGGAAATATTTTAAAAGGGCTTAGCACAGGTTGCTATATAGTGAACAGTAAATAAGTGATAACAAAATAAATCAGATGTAATACGCTTGTGAGCTCCATGAGGGCAAGAATTAGGTCTCCTCCATCTATAAAGTCACCAACTTCTAACCCATAACAATAAACAGATGTTACTTATAGAATGTGGAAAAAAAAGAAGCTATGCACAGAAAGTTTTTGCCCCCCAAATTTTCTTTCCCCTTGAAAGAAATCTCCATTCTAGTCTGTAAGCTACTTAATGACTTCATTATTGAAATCGTTGTATGGAATCCTATTTCTCATTTTTATGACTTATTTTGAACTATTTTAATAATAGATGGCACCCATGGTGTCTGCCAGCACTGTGCCGAGCACTCAGCATGCAGCACTTCGTGAATTCTCACGACTATGTAAGTAATCTATAGATCACTGCCCCCATTTTACAGATGAGGAAACTAAAGCATCAAGGGGTTAAGTGATCTGCTGCAGTCAGACATCTGACAGATGATGGAACAATGATTTTAACCCTGTAGAGTCTGGTTCCGGAGCCTGAGCGCTTACCAACCATGCCATATTACCATTCAAGCTTGAATCAATATCCAGTCTAATGACATCACATTTGCTTCCCCATTGTGAGGAGGTCATTCAGTTGAGGATATGCATTTCTTTGTGGTTTTTCTCTCCTAATGCGTGTACATGGGTTGTTCTAACCCGCAGAGAAAACCAGCCTTGCCACTTGTGGTTAGCTTTAGCAGTGAAGCATATATGTCGAAGAGCTAGCTGGTTATCATGGTTTTGGTTTTGGTTTTGGTTTTGGTTTTTTAAAAAAAAGGTCTTAATTAGAGGACTGGTTTTGTAGATGCTTCTGAGGGCTAACTGTGAGAAAAAATGACTCGGTGTCATAAACTCCACTCTTCTCCAGCAATCACATCTGATTTGGTTGTATCCTCACTGTTTGCATCCTCCCTAGTGTAAATACACTGGAAAAGCCCATTAGGATTATTTCTATCATTGGCTGCTAAGATAAAACAATCTCTAATTCCCTTAATTACCTCCTAAACTTCCTTTTTGCCTGTTTGTTCTAAAAGTGCTGACTGATCTTAACAGGGGTCTGTTTCCACCGCTACTTGCTCTTTTCAGGAGCGTGGAGCCATGCGCTATTGCGTATTACTCTAGACGTAGATGTCTATGTTACAGCGCGGCTTAACAACCCTGACTTGCTTGGCCTTTGTATTTCAAGAGGTTCATGAGAAGCAGAACTAGAACAGCAAGTCAGCCATGATTTTATGATTTGTGCGCTTTCTAGACTACTCTAACTCTTCGGGTACAAGGCTTACGGCACACGAAGCCTAAAGCCCTGGCCTTAATCAGAGGAGTGGGTATTATTTCCAAGGAGAGCTGACTGAACGAGGTTTGGGAACTTCTGTCTGATCCCTGTGCTTTTTTGCTAAGAGCTCTCAGGGCCTGGAGAAATAGCTTATAGCCCACTGTTAACCACGTCTCTTAGGCATCACTTAGCACTTAAGGACAGTGATTATGAAGCCCTTTGAAATTAGGCG